TGTTCAAATTAGAACTTCATAGTTTCAGTGGAATTACTCTTTGAATTTAACGGGTCTCCCAACAGGGAGTTCTGAACTTTGGCAATTGATAGCGGCCACCTGTCAAATTAGTTGTCAAATTGGTTGTCATTTATTCAGTCTGTGTTGCCAAATCATCATGATGGATATAGCAATAAACAATACGTGCAAATAATAAAATTGTTTTATTAAAATGGTCGCCATAAATGTCCTAAGGAGAGGGATATTCGCAATGTGGTGGATAAATTTCAGTCCACTGGTCCATCAACTGATCGACCAACACCCGTACGTCGACGAAACATCACCGCTGTCAGGGAGACTCTGCAGGAGAATCCAAGGCAGTCAAGACTTGGGCTTGCATCCGTACAAAACTCAACTGACCTAGGAACTGAAGGTAAACGACAATAGACAACAACGTGTGTTCGCTGAACGGGCTCTGGAGCAGTTGGCAACTGCATCGAAAAATCATCCTCAGATATTTCACATATTTAAACTGTTACAAACCGTTTTTTGCAAAACACCAACGTAGATAATGTGTTAAAGTAAGCCCAGACGCCAGTTATCCATCGTTAACTAATGCAATTGTTTCAGATATAGATCGAGCTCTTTCAAATAATTTCTCGACTCAAGTTGAGGCTAAATTGAAATGCATCAACTGAGGCATTCTAAAAAGAATTTTCAGTATTCGTAACAACTGTAATTTTATTCGCCAGCCTCTGGTAGACACAGCGCATGTGTATTCCTCCAGACCTGAATTTCCTTGTGAAGAACAATGAACAGCAACGTTGACAGACGATCGTATATTTTCGTCAACTTGTAATGTGCAGCTTTGGAATGGTACTTATGAAAGATCTTCTGGAAAATCCTCTACGGTAGCCTTAATATCACACTGATGAGATTCTATTTGTTAGGTCTAAATTGACAATATTATTGATTTGGTCAAAATGATATTAAAACAGAGAGTGATGACGCTGAACTAGAAGAAATTTGCCTGGAAGATAGGAATCAAATGAAGATAACGATGCTAAAACCTCAACAAAGAGAGTGAACTTTCATACCGGAGATAACTGAGTCAAAGGCAGCTTTCTATACCTGAAGTGTCGTCTAGGACTGTGTTTGGCATTATCAAAGGCGATAAGGCAAGAGACGAATTGCTCATTATTGGAATGCTCATCCGGTTTTATGCTGTTCATTTTTCCCCGCGGGTTGACCAATAATTGACTACACTGAAGAATAATCAAACTTAAATTTATTTCACTTTGAACAACACACACACTTCACAACTATTTTTCGAATGTCTATCGCCTTACTAGATCGCTTTTCGTACCGCACTGTAACTTCCACTTGACTGTCTCGATATGCTCGTGGCTAGCATTTATATATCGTAATCGAATACGGCAGAATATTCTTCGAAATTCCATCAAAATAGCATTTTTCTCGTTTCATCTAGAGCGGCAGCGAACATCGTACATTCGTGCGCTCTTAGCTACGTCGCGATTGGTTTATGTCTACCAGTGGCGACCGACATTATTTTCTTTCGGGCATGATGGACAACAATACCTTCGGCGGAGGGTGTGCCTTCATTCCTATTGGTTGGATTAAATGACCTGATTTTTGGCAATTCACAACAAATAGGCACATTTAACCGATTAACATGAATGAAATCCGACTACCTGTACTGAATTGCACACAAATAGGAACGAAGCCACGCCCACTAACGAAAGTTTGAAACCGGAAAAATATTGTCTATAATGTAGTATCTGCTCTGAGAACAACCATAGCACTTCGTCTATTGCGTTTGATGTTACCGCCTTTAATGTTACTGCAGTAGTAGTAAGTGATCAAAAGAATTTATTTTCATAAATAGGAACATGTGATAAATACTTCGTTAACATTTTTGGAAAGTGAGGATATTGAATCGCTTTCTCATATTGTGCACTCTTGTGGTCTATGCCTGTGGCGTCATCCCTTGCAATCATCCCCAATAGGGTTTGAAAAATATGTTTTAACTCTGCCCAGACCTCGCCCCTTACAGATGACGACCCTCGAAAATGGAAACTAGTGTGAGCCAAGGATTAACTAGGTCTTACCTTTTATCGTGCGATTTGTAGCACGGATTGAGGGATAGGCAGTGAAAATAGATCGTCCAGCCTCGGGGCTCAAACCACCGTTTCACCTGATGGTCTTTTGAATGAGTGTATCAAACCACTCACGCCAACCGAACTAGCCAGAATTAGTGAAAAAGTCCCTTCAATGTTACATAAGAGTCAGGTTTCGAAAATATAGTAATTGTAAATTCACGTTTAATGCCATAAACGCGATCTAGTCTAATCAACAAGTTCAAAAACATGAGCGAATAATGTTGTCTCGAAACAAGTGTTTCCTCACTTATCGAGTAGGTATCATTTATGCAAAAAATTGTATTTGCTGTATACATTCTCTCTCTTTTCACCGTAGTAGGCTCCGATATATTCGGGAGGGCACGCCAGCATTATCAATCAACGACCACTCCCCACACCGTGGGGTAAGTGAACAGTGGGTCCGAGAATCATGTGCCCTGAGCAAGCGCCAGTGAGCCAAGAAGCCACGAATGACAGCCTCCTGCATCTGTCTGGCTAAGATTTCTGCTTTTATACGGCAGGCCGGTATGATTTTGAGATTCGAGAGTAGAGAGGGCATCATTCCACCAAGGACTCCAATAATCGTAACAACCATCTTGACAGAGTGATCTGGATAGAGTCTGCGGAGCTCAAAGAGAAAATCTCGATATTTTATCCGTTTTTCCTCCTCTTTTCGGACGATATTCGTCTCGCCAGGAAATGAAAACTCCACGAGAAATATCGTTTTGCTCTGGTGATCGAGAAGGACTACATCAAGCTTTTTAGCTTGTATGAGCCTAAGGGTGGGGAACGAATAGTTCCAATAAATTCTGCACATCTCGTTATTCACAACGGATTCAATATCCCCTGGAGCGTAGGGCAACACCGGTGTCTCGTCAATGGTAATATAGCAGGGCCGCGTTATGTCGATGGATATAGGCCGATACCGCATATGCTGGACATGCTGATAGCAAGTGCATTAGGGTTTCGGGCGCCTCGCAGCAGGCCCTGCACCTTGTGTCAGGATCCTCTATACCCATCACGCGACTGCGGTAGACTAAAGTGTTGAAGACACCATCCTGGCAAGCCATGATGAACCCCTCACTTTCCGACTTCAGCCCACTCGACCTGTGTAGAGCGAATGTCAGGCGCTTTGCATTGGCTTATCCTTGTGTTTCCGCAGAAATGAGGTTATCTCTGCGGCTTTTACATGAGCTTTTTGCTGAACGGGTTCCAACTCGGTAACAGAGTAACCTCGTTCAGTGTCAAAAACTAAACCGAGCTCATCAGCTGCTCGGGCAGCTGCCCTAAAGAGAAATGCTCCAATTCCTGCTCTCTCATGGTCACGGACCATGCAGAGAAGGGGATCCGAACTCCTGACGATTTTACAGGCTATATCCAGTACCATTCTGTCATGTAGACACTCCAAACACAGACACTCCACGGCCTCCCTGTTTTCGGGGGAAGTACAACCGTGGAACAAATGATTTAGGATGCAAACTCCTATAGAGATGCATCATTTTTCAGGTATTTACGTCGAGTCCACTTTAGTACTGCAAAAAATTCAGGAGTTGTTAACGATGAAGCTATTTGTACTGCAGTTTTACGGCACATTCGACTAATGAAAAATTCGCAATCTCTTGCGAAGTTATCTCGAGAAGCAGGAATCAGTAATACAAGTGTTTCCATTATCATTCATAGGTACAAATTTCATCTATATAATATTAGACTAGTTCATAATTTGAACGAAGATGATTTCGATAGACGTATCGAGTTTTGTGAAAGTCTCACTGAACGGATCATCTTGCATCATAATTTCTTGTATAAAATTTGTTTTTCGGATGAATGTACTTTTAGTTTGAATAGAGAGGTGAATCGGCAAAATTGTCGATATTGGAGTGATACGAATCCTCATTTATACCGTCAACAACCTCAAAAACTGAATGTTTGGGTAGACATTTTAGGTCACCACATTATAGGACCTTTTTTATCGATAATAATTTGACTAGTGATGAATATTTGGATATGTTGGAGAATCGAATAATATCATGCATCAATAGGGCAATTGAGGAGGATATAAATTTATTCGAAAACGAAATAGTTTTTCAGTAGGATGGTATGCACCTTCTTATTATGCAGCTCCAGTGCGACAATTTTTGGATGATCATTTTCCTGGTCGCTGGATTGGCAGAAGAGGTCCTTCGGAATGGCCACCAAGGTCTCCGGATCTCATTCCTGTAGATTTCTTCTATGGGGTCATCTGAGGTCTAAAGTGTATGAGGTAGAAACAACAACATTAGAAGATTTGAGAGAGAATATCATGAGGTATTGCAGAGAAATAACTCCCGAGATTCTCAACCATGTGAGGGCGGCAATGGAAGCTCGTTTGTACCATCGTATTGAAATTTGGTGGAAACGTTTTTGAACATTTATTATAGAAATTTTTTTTCGTGTCATTGTCCAGTCATCAGATTCTGATTCAAAAATTAATTTAAAAAATCTCTTTTTCTGATTTATTACTTCCATATTTGTCTCTAAAACGAACATTTCGAAATGTAGCTTCCTGTTTTTTTTATTTTTCCTGCAAATCGTTGTTCCAAAAGTTATTCAGGGTGGCTCGTTTTCAACTCAAATAATTTTTTGCTCCCGAACCATAAGGTTTATACTTTGTTGAAATCTACCCATCATGGAGCATCTGATAATGCGCAACAATATAGGGTGATCCATTAAAAAAAATTGGTGACGTGCTCTGGGGGAGCGATAGGAGAAGTAACATCAAATGTGAATATGACAAAATGTGTCCCACTGTATAATATTGTTGACGTGATTTCTAATTTTTCCTGAAAATCATTGTACCGAAAGTTATTCAGGGTGGCTCCTTTTAAATGGAATGTACTGTATATGTACAGGTATTTGCGAATTCTTTCACTCAACAGAATTCAACAAGCACTCATTTCGTCATGGGAAACCGCATACATAACCTATTGTTTTGTTTTCGTCCTTAGCGTTAACAGCTTCGCATATATTCATGTGTTCACTGATTGTAAATTGCAGTTATTTAATGAATATACATGGTCATTCCAACATAGCTGGTCCCTTGTTTCACGTGACGCATCCATTTTCTAAAGGATGCGTCACGTCATGTTTAGTTAGTTACGAGTGAGCGATTGCCTGTCGTTGATTGAAAACTTTATTTTTCCTTTTCAGAACAAGTGAAGCGAGACTCTCGTCGGGGATAAACAGAAACACATGGTTACGTACGAGTTTGAGGAGGTCGTCACCGAAGTAAGTCAAACTACTATCTATTCCACGTATTTTTCTACAGAAAAAACGAACTGATAATCTGCTTTCGTACATGTGACCGATAACATGTTTTCAAAGGTAATTCGGTGTGTTATCTGGCCTATATAGGGTGGGCCATCGAAAACTTGACTTGCGAGGTTTTGGGTATAGTCGAAGTAACCGATATAGTAATTCTTGAAGCTATCGGCGAAGTCAAAGGCCAAAAAAACCAATAAAAATACTAACCGAGTTTTATGATTGACTGAAGAGTCATAAAATTAAATTTGAGGTCATGTTACGGTAACCAATAGAATGTGAGGATGTTTAGAAGAGTCGTGTTGTCCATGTTCAGTTCAGGAACTGATCGCGATTTGAGTGTTGAAATTCGATATTGGTGAAGTTATAATTACTTAAAATGTTTGTTATTTGTTTAAAATGTGGCGTCCTTGGACAAGTACTAATAGTAATAACGAATGTGATAACAACGCAGACTTTTTCCTGTGTAGTGATTCCAATAGCGCTGGTGAGCAATGCGAAAAAGAGATACCAGTGAATAAGATTCGGATGCATTTGAATATTGAAACACAGAGAGTATGTTTCCATGTATATAAGAATCTACATATTGAGTTTGGTTTCGAGGGAAAAACTATTACAAGCAACATCAGATTTGACCGAAATTCCTTTCCCAACTGTACGTAAAATAGTCAAAAACAAACATTTTGAACGCAAGACGCGTTTCGATGCGGGATTACCAAAAACTTTAGATGTTCATCTAATGAAATCATAAAAAAGCAATATACGACTGTTACAAAAGCAATGAGATTCCTACAATTGAAAAAATTCGAGGAAAGATGAAATACAAAGTTTTTTAATGGATAACAATTTATATTTTGAAGATAACTATACCAAAAACCAACTATTTGAAGTTTTATAGACAAAAACGTTTGAAAAAGTGTATGCCCTTGAGAGTATTGCTGAAAAGTATGGACACACCATATTGAGACTTCCCCCCTATTTTTGTGTTTTCAATCCTATCGAGTTGATTTGGGGAAAATTGAAACAAAGCATCAGGCGTAAAAATAATTTTCCAAAATTTGATAAGAAGGTGATAGAGCTGGTTAAAGAAGCAGTATCTAATATTACCGAAGAAGACTGGCAGAAAATGATTAAAAAAGTAATTTTATTTGAAGGAGGTTGTCACTAAAGTAAGTTAAACTACTATCTATTTCACGTATTTTTCTACAGATAAAACGAACTACTAATCTGCTTTCGTACATGTGACCGATAATATGTTTTCAAAGGTAATTCGGTGTGTTATCTGGCGTATACAGGGTGGGCCATCGAAAACTTGACATGGAGGTTTTGGGTACTGATCTTACAAATCCGAAAAAACGCTCAGAGAAATCGAGTTTTATTGGGAGGGGGGCAACTTTTTTCCCATTTACAGCGTCGTCACTTCAAGCCCGGAGCAGAGGGGTGAACAACCCTTGGAGAATTTTATTATGGAAGTGGGGGCGAGTCTCACATCATTTGAAATATCTTGGAATTATCTAAACAATGGTGTACATTTTTTTAAATTTTGACGTATTTGAAAGAGTTCTGCCCGATAATTAACTTTTTCAATATTGTTAATAGCAACAAATTGTTGTACGCCACTGCTCAGTTGGAAAGTATTTGAAACTCTTTCATTTGTTCCTTACGCTATTTTTTCGTTAATTTTTCAGTTTTTCTCTGATAAGAGCACTATTACAATTGAGAAATGGTTAAAAATGCTGTTTCTATTTCTCATTTTTATGTTAAGAGTGATATCTACATTATTTGTTTCCGGGGTGTCACGAACTGGCATTCGGGTATTTTGAAAACCCACAAAATACATCCTTCCAAGATTAAATTAACGCAAGAACTGAATGAAAATGATTTCGATCGACACTTGCAATTTGGTTAGTGAACGAGCTTTCTTTCTGAATGGCACAGTTAATCGCCATAATTGTCGCTATTGGGCTAATTCAAATCCTCACATTTTTCATGAAGTGCATACTGAACGTACGCAAAAATTTAATGTATGGCTGGAATTTTTGGTGATCGTATTGCTGGCTCATTGTTTTTAGAAGGCAATTTAACTGGACAAATGTATCTGGAGCTTCTGGAAGATACTATTAATCCCCTTCTCACTGTTTCCAGAAATACCCGGCCTGACCTAGAGATGGCGGTAGTTATTTGAAAAATATCGCTGTATTAGAAAGTACACAGTCTATAAAGCACAAAGCAATTTTAAGACCGCTGCGTTGTTTAGTATTCGTTTGGCAGCCATCAGTAGCGAACGTTTTCGGTGAACTTGTGAAAATGGAGAAGATTAATCATCGTTATGTAGTAGAATACTTTTATTTGAAAGGCCTCAGCCCGACTAATATAAAAGCTGAAGTGGTTTCTACTCTGGGTGAGTCTGCTCCTTCGTTTATCACACTATCGTATGAGCTACCAAGACGAGCATCGCAGTGGTCGACCAAATGAGGTGACAACTCCAAAAACGGTGAAAAAAAATCCACAAAGCAGTACTGAATGATAGTTGACTGAAAGTGTGCGTGCTAGCAGACTTGGTAGGCATTTCAAAAAGTGCGGTACATCGTATATTTTCTAAGATTGGACATGAAAAAGCTGTGTGCGAGATGGGTGCCTTTGCTCAAAGTTGAGCAAAAACAGTGTCGTGAAGATGTTTCAATTGAGTGCTTAGCGAAGTTTCACAGCAACAAAGCAGAATTCTTGCGTCGTTTCATAACAATGGAAAAAAGATGGGTCCATCATTTTACACCCGAGACAAAATAACAATCAAAACAGTGGACCCAACAGGGAGAACCAGCTCCAAAGAAGGCGAAGACAGTTTCACCTGCGGGCAAGGTCATGGCATCGGTTTTTTGGGATACGCGTAGGATAATTTTCATTGACTATCTTGAAAATAGTAAAACTATCAATGGCGAGTATTATGCAAACTTATTGCAAAGTTTGAGTGAAGACATCAAGCAAAAACGGCCACATTTGGCTAATATAAAAGTGTCGTGTCATCAAGACAATGCACCAGCTCACAAATCCATTATCACAATGACCATAAATAACGAATTAAAGTTTGAATTGCTACCCAATGCACCCTATTCAACAGATTTAGCCCCCTTGGATAATTTTCTGTTCCTAAACTTGAAAAAATGGCTAAGTGATCAAAGATTTCCCAACTATGAAGACGTGATGTCGGTAGTTAATGGCTATTTTGAGAAGCAAGACTGTTCTTATTATAAAAACGGTATCGAACTTATTGAACGTCACTGGGAAAAGTGTATAGAGCTGCAAGGAGATTATGTTGAAAAATAAACAAATTTTTCCTAAAAATTTTGTGTTTTTTTTTGTTAGGCTGGGTACTTCAGGGACCACCCTCGTATTTTAGCTTGGTAAATCTAGCTGTGCCTCTGAATACTGGATGCGCAGTAGATCAGCCGGTGGAGTGGGGCGAGAAGTCATCAACATTGAGGAACTCGTGTAGCCAAGGTCGTGTTAGTACAGTAAGTGGAGAAATTATTCTGTGTGATGAACTGTGAGTTATATGTTGTCTTTGAAAATGCCTTCGAACAGTCAACTGAAAAACAAGGTCCTCTGTGGACAAAGCACAGAAATTGTTAACAACGTATTTAGATTTAGATTTATGTAAACGGAAGCAACGGCAGATGGAATAGGAATTTCTCTTGTGAAAGTAGGAAGGAATAGTAATAAGTAAAATTGTAACAACTTTTCAAGGTTCAGTAACGAGTAGTTGAGGCCACAGGATTTTGCGTGCGAACTGTACGAAAAATCAAATTAGAGATGTATGAAAAATTCCAAAATTGTGATGGATGATGCTGATTTTGCAATTTCACACAGATATATATTTAATTTCCATATCAAAGATAAATCACCATCCGAAATATTGACTATCGTAAAAGGGAGTATTTGTGAAAAGGTGAAAAAAGAACAGTAAAATATTGATGGAACGGCAGCATATTCAACTACTTATAATGTAATTCTTGAAAAATGCGAACCTATAAAGAAGAATGTCGATCTACTACTTAAATGAATGAAACATAAAGTCATGCTACACACACGAATAAAAAGGTTTGAGTGATCATATTATGGAAGGTCTAAAAAAACCTGTTTGCGGAAGGGCAACGTCTAAAAATACATGCGGGTAGTGAAAATGAATTTGTGTCTAATACTTACCTTAGATGGAAATCAAATTGCAGTATAGGTGATTATCACAACGAAATGAATTTTGATAATTATAAGAAATAGCTATGATTGGAACATATGATGCACTGTTTGGAACCTTTGGTGTAGTAGTGAATATTACTGGAGTTTTTTCTCAATCATCTTCAAAAAGGAAGATTGAAAGTTTAATCTTCCTCTTTGAAGATGATCACTTGGTGATCGAAACACGTGTCGAGGAAAAAAAGTTTAATCTTCCTCTTTGAAGATGATCACTTGGTGATCGAAACACGTGTCGAGGTGTTGAAAATAACGATTTGGTGAGGAAATCTAGTTTAATCTTCCTCTTTGAAGATGATCACTTGGTGATCGAAACACGTGTCGAGGTGTTGAAAATAACGATTTGGTGTTGAGAAAAAACTCCAATAATATTCATGATTGTAACAGTTGATTTCGAATTTGCTGTTAAGAAGCGTTATGGTAATCGATAATACACCTTATCATAATAAATAAATCGACAAAATGCCAACGACATCGAAAAAAGAAGCCGATATGCAATCATGATTATCAGGGAAGAAAACTCTATTTGGAAAAAAATGCTGAAACCTCGGTTGTGTGCCCTCATAAACAACTATAAGCAAAAATTCAAGAAGTATGAAATAGATCAGCTCTTTCCAGCAGCAAATCACAACGTTGAACGATTACTGCCAAATCACCCGGATTTGAATCCAATTAAGTCGCATGAGCATCGCTCAGGAATTGTTGAAAGATTTCAATGACGATCTAGATTTGCTTAAAAGGGTCATAACTGGTGACGAATCATTGGTATATGGTTATGACATCGACACCAAAGTCCTAATGGAAGAGACCAGAGGAGCCAAGACCAAAAAAAAATCAGCCAAGTTAAATCAAACGTCAAGGTTTTCCTCACTGTTGTCTTCTATTATCGTAGCGTAGTGCATCAGAAGCTCTTTCCACATAGTCGTACGATCAATATAAAAAAAAGCACGGTATTGTAGTGTTGCAAATCATGCCCGAAAGAAAATAACGCCGGCCGCCACTGGTATCCATAAACCAATGGTGACGTAGCTAAGAGTGCGCGAATGTACGATGTTCCCTACCACTCTAGAAGCAGTGAGAATAATGCTACCGGTTTCGACGGCACTTCGGCGAAATTTCTAAGACATTCGATTACGATATTTAAACGCTAGCCGCGAGTATATCGAATTAGTGAAGTGAACGTTACGTTAGTTGAAATGATTGCTGTATTTAAAGTGAAATAAAGTTGAGTTTGATCATTCAGTGTAGTCAATTATTGGTCAACCTACGGGTAAAAACGTAACAGTAGAAAAACAATTCAAAAAGATTGAAGGGACCCATAAAAGGACGGCGTTTTGCGACTGTAGTCTAACAGTTGTTGAACTACAGTAGGGATGAACTACGATGTCTAACTCACAGGTCACTGTCGTCTGAATCATCATAGGCAAAGCCTCGGACTGTCGGAAACAGTGTGTGCCGCCTCTGTTTGGAAAATTATGAAACAGCAGGGCACATATTTTGTGCCTGCCCCGCTGCGGACCGAATCAGGTTTCCAGAGTTTGGCAGAGCCGCACTCATCATCTGATCTGAAAGACTACTCATCATATAAAATAATAGACTTCGTTGAGAAGCTGGGTATATTTGATCGAGTATGAATATGTGTGAGCTACAATAAACCCTTGCGGGTTGCGGTGGAGGGTCGAATAGACCCACTTACTTTCGACCTAACTTAACCGAACCCCTTCAAGTTTGCGTAAAATCATAAATACAGTGTTAATCCGGTCTGATAGTAGGTGCATGTTTACTGGAAAGTTAATCGTCTTATACAGTTTTGTAGTTAATTTTGACTGTAAACAGAGTTGATGATACAACGATAATTTTGTTTATGAATAATGACTACCAGTAATTCGATTGATATATGAATTCGTGAAATTTGTGCTGAAGTAATCTGATAAAGTCTGTATTCAGCAGAAGTTTCAAATCGGCTTCATTATTACTTAAGGTTGTTAATTTATTCAATTCGTGCCTGAGAGCCATACACTTGTAGTTATTTCATGATCTGCAGCTTTTGCTGCAATTCAAATTTTGCAGTTATCGCAAAAAAGATAAACTGTTTGAAAATGTTATGAAAACTAAAAAAACAGAATAAAACCCGAAGCGGACAATTCTAGATGAATTATTATTTGCGCAGTTTTCAACATAGCTATACATTTCAGCAATTGTGATGAAATATTATACATTCCAGATGTCCATTCACTCACCACTAACGCACAACTCATTGTATTCAGCTATTTGTATTCAAATCGTTTTTACAGGTACGTGTTTTTATGTCATACATATCTCGTTTTCCTATCCTTTAAATGCCTTCCACTGGTGATTAGTGTAATAAATCAATGAACTTTGTATTGAAGATGACAATTACTCGTTTGTGCTGAAAGAAGACGGCTATAAAAATCTATTTTTGTTTTTTTGTGTTTTGTTCTAAATCATCCTCGTGTGAACTTATTAGTCTAAGAGCCAGTGAGCGGCTACCTGCATGTATTTGACCAGACTTAGGTTTTTGTACATTGAGGCCCCTATACCTACCGTACATGATATGGGACCTCACTAAGCCCAAAGTGGTGGACGCGGTGAGTGCGCAGGTAGGACAGGTGCCTGAGGGAGCAGATGTCTCCCAAGCCCAGCAAAATTTTTTACACAAAGTCAGACTGTCCCTATGGATATATCGAAGGAGTTATGGTTGAACTTGGTGTTTAGGTTACAAACAAATCTATTGGATTTAGGTGATGATTGTCAGACCAATGATCACATATGGTGCAATTGCCTGGTGGCCGAAGGCTTTACAGAAAACGGCCCAAGCGAAGCTCTCTGGCTTACAGAGACAGGTTGGTCTGGCTAACAGTGGTGCCATCAGTACCACACCGTCAGCGGACATGGAGATACTTGTAGATCTACCTCCTCTCCACATTTTTCTGGAGAGAGAGGCTATATGGACTGCATATAGACTTATGCACATTGCCAATTACACAAATCAATTTAATGCATAGTGCAACAGATTGTTTGTTGACACTGGAAGTCACAACATTCTAGAAATGGTTTCTGACTGTATGCCTTCAAGTAGAGTATAGAGGACTACTACAACTACCTGTTCTGAATATTTCCTTCGCGAGAAGGAAATAGCAGAGCATGTTTGGACTCATCAACATCAAGTGGGCTCAAGCTGAAATCATCCACAAAGAGGAACACTGGTTTAGGAGAAAATTAAAATAAGCCGCGTATAAGTTGTCCAACAAGGCATTTAGTGAAGCTAGCGTAGAGATACCTAACATATGAAACCTCTAATCAAGCGAAACACGACCAACTTCCGCCAAACGATCATCTCCCGCTAAAACCAATGAAGCGGTGAGAGGGAAGAGGGGATAGGTGAAAGCACTCGAATGACCTATAAATAGTCAGATCTCGGAGGAATAAGTCCAGTTATCACCCGAAGACGATTGTGGATACTAACAATCGAAACGTCGTGACGTATTTTTTTCAGGGATTTCAAATCAATTTATATTATATTAGACAATGGAAGTCCGAACTGATGAAATACATAAATTTAAGGCTAACAAAATGAATCGACTTGTGTTACGTTGACAAAAGTGGGGTGATTCAACTGGCGCTTATTTAGATGGAATTGAATAAGTATTCACTGGGATATTACAGTTTGAAGTAGACTCATAAAAACGGACTAAACTCTTGAACAACGTCATACCTCTCATTACTCAGCATTTTTGATTTTCCCCGTTCAACTCGAGAAGAGCGAGAGTCCCCGTAAATTTTCTGCGACGATTGTATTGTTTCCGATGACAGTTACCTTTTTCCCATTTAATCGTCTTCGTATCTGTTACGGTTTAGAATATATCAACGTTACCATGATAAACGAAACGGCCTGTATAATGTATAGACTAGTAACTGTGACAGATCTATTTTAATGTTTCAACACTGATTCATATAAATTGTGACACCAACCAAATTTACTGTTTTTGTTTTCAGTAACCAGGATAACCTTCCTAACAGGAGATGGGGCTCGTTTCGACAGTAAGTATTTTTTTTTGTTCACACCTAACATATCTTGACATTATTACACCTTTTTAGGACCTTTATCTATATTTTTCATGATTTTGAACTCATTGATTAGACTATGACGCCCAGTTCATCCGCCATCCCACGCACTGTTTACTGTAGATCGATCACTTCGGGGCTCATCTTCGAAGCCAAAATCTCTGGAGCGAAATTTCGCAAACCAAATTCCAACAAAGGATTCGTTAACATTATCAGTGTCAAATACCTAGTTAATATTTCTAGCTGTTTTGACAGAGCGTTGGCTCTATTTGAATTAGTAGAAAAAAATTGGCCCAAAATGGCTCAACGACATCATATATACTAAACTGAAAAGAGGCAAAAAATAGAAATTTGGAAAAAATGAACAGCGTCAATGCATAGAGTACAAAATTCTCTATTGATCAGTTTATACAACGACACGTATAATAAATATTTATTGAGATATGCGGATAAAACGGAATCAAATTGATACACAACCGATCAACACATCTTTCATCTTTATGGTTATTGAAGTGGCAGTAACACTTTTATAATAGGGCAGCCCAAGCGGGGATTTCGGGATTTACTAAAGTGCGGCAGATCAATATACAGGGGGATACCTTGTACCCGGTTAAGTACCTCTACCAAATATGAGCCCCATATACAGGGTGTCCCTGGACTTCCTCTTTTCCTCTCGGGAATGTATAGATGGGGTCAAAATATCACCAGTACTTCATATAAACATAAAGATGAACCATATATATCTTAATCTGACGCGCTTGAGTATTTCAAAATGGTGATTTTTTTTGCACATTATAATAATGGCCGCGAGTTTGCGTCAGTTGAGTTGCACTTGACACCCCCTTAGAAAATCTGACGCGCTCGATTAAATTTATTTTCACTTTTAACCCTTACGTACAACCACCCACATCATGCAAACGATTAGATTAACATATCAACATCATTAAAAATACGTAGGACATTGCTGCTATCAATATCTGACGCGCTCGAGTATGTCCACGCAACAGTATTTTTTTAAGTATTTAATAATCTATAGCCGCTTCCCCCACTGATGAAAAGGTATATATTATATAACATTTTTTTCTTCTTATCACCTAAGCTTTGCAACCTAATATGTCTCAATGACGCTCGAGTAAATCCCCATTTTGCATCGTGGGCTCCCCTGCTATTATATGTCAATTGAGATAAAATACAGAAATGTCATATCAAACCATCAATACTTCCTTTAGGAAGCTATTGTTCTTATAAAAATTATACTTACACATTCAAAGTTGATTATTAATGTTGACAATCGTTTGATGATATTCACATCCGGTGAAATGTTGGTGATAGTTCCTATTGACCATTTGAAAGGATATTATCATTCAAATTTACTGATGGTGAATGTAGCATATAAATTGGATTAATAGTAAACTTGGAATAATGAAAGATATAAATAACTATTTTATTTTTATTTTCGTCCATGTTATTAGTAAACAGGTTACATTCTTACTATTTCCGAACAACACTTAGGCATTCCACGGAATAACATTCTTTCTATTTCGAATATACGATGAATGTTTGATAATAATAATATCTTGTTATTGCCTGATGAACAGTCGGGCCTAATTCATGTGTGAATCCAAAAGAAGGTTTAGGAATATCCCAATGTACCCGATGTCTTGGTTACCAAAACACATCAAAATATAGTGCATTTCTTTAATGTCCCTCCCCATTTATTTTTGAACGGGTCAACTCAAAAAATTGAAATTTGGGATAATGAAATTAATGCATGAATACTTTATTTTGAAGTGAAATTGACAGATGAAACTTTCAAGATGGCGACTGGGCTCCATCTGGGAAAAAATTAAATGGAAAGGGGTGTCTTGTGACACATCATTTTGAAACTGCTGACGAATACTTCACAACGCTAGAATATGAAGTCAACATCTTCACCTACTACGAAAAGGCGGAATATTTACTAATCCGGTCAATCTAGACATTGAAAGGTACATAAATTTACAACAAGCTGCAAATGCGTGTAATTGTTTTTAACATAGTTAAAAATAAGATTTTGAAATTCCGAATGATTGCGATGCCTGAAAAAAAATTGATTCGAGGTCAAAGGTCAAAAATCTCGAAAAAAAATTGGTTTTTCGCGATTTTCATGAAAACGGTAAGTTTTATCATAAAATAACCTCAGATGAAAATTGTAGATCATAAAATTCTCTACTAAAAATGTATGAATACTTTTTTTTCTTAGAGCCACCGTTTCTGAGATACGACGAGTCATTAAGTTGTAAAAATTGTAATCGTTATTATATGCACCATTTCCACGCCACCTATGAGGTAGTGTACTTAGTGCGTTTTTTTAACGTGGTTTCCCCAGTGGGCCTATTCCACATGTCTGTTATGATTCTGTCAAATTGAAAACTTGCATAATAAAATATATTAGGAAGGATTGGAAATTATAAAAGCGATTGAAATTAAAAAAATGTAAAAATGTATTCATCTCAGTCATAACCTTCAAATACTTCTTATCGTTCTTCTTCTTGGTCTTCTTCTTCTTCTTGATCTTCTTCTTCTTCTTGATGTTCATCCTGGGTGTAGGTAAACTGTGTCAAGAGTGATGTATCGCATGTTTCCTCGTTGGTATCAAATGAATCCTCCACTATTGGTGATTCAGCATTAGAACATGACTGACCTTGACAATGTGTACATGCCAGAGAACACAACAGTTCAACTTTTTTACAACCACATTTAGCGCTGAATCCCTTTTTACAGTTGCAAAAAATGGTGTTCAGTAGTTTTTCCGGCGCAGGTGGGAGTAAAGTCTGAATAGGTTCTAATGCATTGTCGACCAACTTCCAACCCCAGTCTTTTGGGTCTAGCTGATAATCAAGCCACACTTGAACTTGGTAATATACCCGGAAAAGATGTTGATGAGCTTCAACTGAGGTTGGAGGAAGACAAGCTAATTGCACCTGTTTCTTATTTTTAGTATTCAAAGAAGGTCTGATTTGAGCTTTATAAAGCATCAAAAGTTACTGAGATACTTACAGTTTTCTGGTTCGGAACAGTGTTCCAAGATTTTGAGAAGCGGCTTTTGCAATTCCAACGACATGATTCTGCCAAGATATATTGGTGTCCATTTTAACCCTCAAAAAACTTATCGAAGCAGAAAGTGGAAATGTCTGACCTGACATTATTATATTCGGTTCGGAAACATTTATCTTTCTGGAAAAACCGATGCCTGGGTTTTTGTGGCTTTGAATTGAACCTGGTCACTTTCACCCCAATTCGAGATTAATTCTATATTCTCATTAAGATATGCACCCTCCTGCTGCCGGTGAAGATGTGCATCCGCCGTCGATGTCCTGGAATCCAAATGGAATGACGAAACAAGTGTGCTGTCGTCAGCAAAGCAATTTATTGGATTCTTGTTTTTTTCCAATAAGTCGTTGATATGCAATAAAAAAAGGTTTGGAGACAATATAGATCCCTGGCGAACACCAGCGTAAATGGTAAAAATATTCGAGAGATATCCGTCGACGGCCACTTACAGAGAACGTTTTTTCAGGAAGCTGAAGAGCCATACACAAAAATGATCCGACAAGCCATAGCTTCGAAGTTTGGCCAGCAAACCCTCATGCCACACACTGTCAAAGGCCTTAGAAATATCAAGCGCTACAGCTCTTGACTCTCCATGTTTCTCGATTGCGTTATTCTGCTGTGATGGTTTGACCCGGTTGAGGAAATTTATAGTGAATCACCTCAGCTGCTGATCTACATTCAGTAACCATGGTCTTTTTTATGGGTTTTCATCTTGGTATGACACTCACGACATAGTTACGAAAGGGTGGACTGATGGTTCGAAAATGTGTACGCCTAACATGCCTGCAAACAAAGGATCGCGACTAATCATTGTGCATTGCGGAGGAAGTAAAGCATGGGTTCCGAATTCTTTGGAATCATGTGGAAAAAAACTTGAGGACTGCAATGTTGACTATCATAGAACACGGAAGCTAATATTTTCGAGGAATGGTTTGAAAACACATTAATCCCAAATTTGGATGCGAATAGTGTAATAGATCTTGACAACGCTTCCTATCATTCGCGACAGCTCATCAAAGTACCAAATAAAATTTTGAGGAAAGATGAAATACAAAGTTTTTTAATGACAAAAAAGTTTTACAGACAAAAACATTTGAAAAAGTGTATGTCCTTGGGAGTAATGCTGAACAACTTATTTATTAGGGGTTTTTTGACAAAAAGTTATTCTTGATAAAAGTTTGTGCATCCCCTAAAACTAAACATGCACTAACAAAATACAGGACCACTCACGTAATATACAAGAAGCCTTCAAATATTTTATTTTGTGACAACAGTAAAGTACTCTTATTTTGAAAAATCTCGGAAAATGTTATTTAAAAAAGTTCTTCAGCATTGAAAAATACATCTAGATTGGAAGTCATAGCCATCTANAAAATTAAAACCCAACATTTGAAACATCAAATTGAATACTTTTCGAAGTGAATTTGAAAAACTCATGAATTGAACTCAACTTTATTTTGTTCAAACTTGCATTTGCTGTAACAACCCAAATTGAGGAACATTCCCCATTGTATCATTACATTTTGTCAACTTCAACTATTATCTCTGGGCGATAAATATACGGTCAGTTATTTCATTGCCTACATTTATATTCATGTGTCTAGTAGGAGTTCTAGTAGATTCAGCGAGATAGACCACCAGAGTGAACCAGAGTGCACCAAATTGTCACGTGGTGTCCTGTCACCCAGCTAGCTAGGCGATGAGCCAATCAGAGTGTACCAAATTGTCACGTAGTGTCCTCAAACTGTCACTAGTTCGCCAGCTAATCAGAGCGCACGCTTCTGCATCTCAAAACATCGTGGCGGGAGATTTGAATTTTCTGTAGACATAAATAATTCAGGCAGACAGACGACCAGGCGTATCCCTCAACGAGACGGACCATCCAGTCATGTGGCGCGCTTACGTCAGTCCATCTTTTCGATCAACACATTTTTGTTTTATGACGTCATGAAAAAAGTTTTGGTTCTACGGGGTTTGTTACCAAAACAGATCAAAATATAAACTGAAAAATAATATTCCAACATTGTCATGCAAAGGCTTCCTTGCGAATTCTCTTAAGAACGTTTTTACTCTCCCATCCCCTAAGAAGCCCATCCTCCCCTTTTTGAAATTGTATCATTACAATTTGTCAACTTCAACTGTTATCTCTGGACGATAAATATACGGTCAGCTATTTCATTACCTACATTTATATTCATGTCTAGTCGGGGTTCTACTCGTAGTACAAAACAGCGCATCCTTTGGTTGTGGTTGAGCGATTACATTCAATTCAATTTAATGTATCGCACAGAATCATCGTGCTACCTTATAGAAGATAAGCTTCCTACAAAATGTTGTCTCTGATAAGACCGAATAAGTCCTATATCAACAGAAAAAGTAAGGAAACTATAAGGTTTTGATAAAATAACTCTGTTTCAGCAACGGGCGACGTCAACAACTCGGGTCCAATGCACTAGCCAGGTTCGTAATCCGATATACCTTTATTATTAGTCGAATATTATGTGTCGACGAATCAATTTCGTTTGTCCCCTTTTGAATTGTAATTTTTTTACAGCCAGTTGTACCGGAGTTCGAGTTTCAATTCGTCCGGCAGAAGCAGCACGTGCGACACTGCTGATGATACTAGCATGTACTCGGATGCTTCTTTGGAAGAGGACGTGCATGATTTGCATCACAAAGTGAGTACCTGATTGAATGTTATCTGTCTATCGAGATCGCAACGATATGCTAGTTACATCACAAAACAATTCACTGGTAATGCAGGCAGTAGCACAACGTGTTTGATTCAAGCGGATTTGGGAGAAACGCGAAGTGGGCGACATCTATATTTGATTTTGCAAACTTCAAACTCGGGGAAGACGTAGGCTATTGCTATGATAATCCACAGGTATAAACAAAAAGTGGAATTTAAACAATAATCAGTATTTGAGTCATCAGTGAATTTATGCGGGTTTGTAGTGAACATTTCAAATGAACCGATTTTACTCTGATTATATCAAAGTAGCGGACGACCTGGCTTCGCAAGGTTTGCAGAGCAACTGTCATGGTGACGCATCAGCTTGTAAATAATGATAATGACCTTTAAGAAAATCAACTCAAACAATGATCAAATTTGACATTATTTTTTCTGCTTGGAAATGCGTTTCTGCTTCTATAAAAATTACCATCAGTCAGAAAAACAGAAATACGTCGTGAGCTCTGTCAACTTGTTCATCAAAGTTTAGTCACCTATCCGGTTCTACTCTTCTGCGATCATACAAGAATTACCTAAAGCAGCCATGTCTGGATAATAGTTGCGTGATGAAGTAGTCTACTTCCCCAAACGGTTTGTCTGTGCATTTTTGGATATTTGGGATGAGATGCTGAGTCCACATTCCAATTGGCCATTCATCCATTTCAGTTGCCGAATCACGAGAAAGCATTCTCTGGCAGTGAACTTTTCTATCATTTCGTTCCTGGATCAGAAGTTTTATGGTAGAATCTCTAGATATTATTTATCTGCTCTCCCTTCGGCTGACAGTCCTGTACGCGTAACTTGTTACTGAAGTAATTTTCCTTTGGATTGCGTTGAGCTTTGACACTAACTTTCAGTTCTCCGTCATAGTAGAAATAGGAGATATTGTAAAAAAGTGGCTTCACTTTCCTTTGTTAGAAATTTGAGGTTGTTCTCCACCAGCCAGTTTGAGATACATTTAATGGAATGTTCGCTTTGTTTATCGGAATTTATTCTCCCTTGGTGACAATCCCTACTAGAATTACGCTTTATAGTTTATCATACATCACGTTCCAAAAGTTTGGCCCGAGGACAGAACTCTGTGGAACTTCGATGTTGGTTTTTTTGAATTCATTATATGTTTTTTACTTCAAGGGTGATCTTCCTTTCGGACAGACAAGACACTATCAGGTTTACAACACTTCCATTTATTTATCTGTTTCGGAATTCTCCCAGTATTAATTGCCAATTAGGCATTTCACATCAAGGGTGATAATTGCGCACAACCTCCCATGAGCACTGCTGTAGGTTTTCACCGGTCATCTAACGATTTCCTGAACTTGGTTTATCGCATCTACTATTTGTTTTGTGAAACCCTAATATTCTGGTACAAACATCATTTATGGTTTATTTCGCTTTCGAGTCAGACAAGTGTTCAAAGAACTTTCCTTACATTTAGTAAAAAAAAGTTTTTGGCTTTCACTTTTCCGTCTTCATACAAAAATTGTGGTAAATTTCCGAAAGAAGGGAAAAAAAGCAATCAAATCCTCATTCGTGACAGGAAGTCGTAATGTTTTGAACTTGTAATATCAACCAGAAAAGTTCTGAAGAGGCAATAAGGCAAGTGTTTCATTCCCCCATTGAAGATGATAGTATTTTATGTAAGTCAAATTATGATATCTGATTCAATTCCATAACGAATGTTGGAGAACAAACAACAGGAAAAAGTGATTTTCGAATAATTCCTTTAGAAATGTTTCACAATTTTCTGCATGCAGATGAAGAAGTGAAAGCCAAACAGTTTTTTTCACAAAAAATATACCCCTTTCAATTTCCTCATTTATATTCTTGATACTATAGCAATTACATATGGCCAAAAAAAGAAAATTTGCAATGGAATCGCAATTCTGAATGAAAAATGAAAAATCTTGCAGATTTTCCAATATAAAGTTATTCCTGGAGTTTTACAGCGCCATCTCGCGGCACCGCACAGTGGAAACTGACGTAAATGTAGCAGCCGAAAGTGACTACTATAAGCAATCTCTACTTCAAAATTAAAGAGGAAAGTTTCATAGGAAAGTGTAAAATGAGTCCGGTTGTCTAAGGGAGGGAACTTGTTAATTTTGAGCGTGCACAAATTTTTAATTTTCGAGCAAATTATAAATGACACAAACGATAATTTCCTGGATCATTTTGCTAAGCTCATTAAAAAAACAGTTTGTGCCTAAAGGGTACAGAGGGAGCAACGCTAGATGGTCCTACTACAAATACAGAGTTTCCCTTTGCTTGGAAAGATAATGATTTCCAATATACCAACCTTAATATGATGTTTATTATGAATCAAGAGATTATTTTAAAATTTTTGTCCGTTTTAATGTCGTATGTTTTTGTAGCTACATACCCCAATGATATATACTGATCGATAGAAAATTTTTACTCTATACATTGGATTTTCATAAATTTATATTAATTTTCATACTTCATACTTAAGTAGCGATAACTATTGAATCTTCTTGAAATATAATATTCTCCTAGAATATTCGAAAGGCTGAGAAGATGGCATTAAGAAAAAATGACAATTTGATTTTTTTTTATGTATTCAAAACTACAGATTTGCAGGCTGAATATGTTCATTTGCGAAGGTCATTATGTCTGATACCATATAAGTAAACAGTAGCATCTTGACTGGAGTTCATTCAAACTTTCATTTTGTTCTCCGAGAAATGTATTATTTTCCTGTACATTTGTCCAAATCTAAATGTCCGAAATACCGTTTGATGCCTATGCATTAGAGCATTGACTTGTGTGAACCACTCATGTTACTGTCGTTGTTAAATCGCGTTTACAGGTTATTGTGTTCAGTGATTAGCAAATGGAGTGTTCGGCTATAATAATAGTTTCACAAAGTAGAAAAAGGGCAAGTGATGAAGTTGAAAGACGATATTTTTATTTTATCTATAATAATTATTCATTTCAGTTCAAACATAATTCATTAATGCACATTTTGCTACTTGAGTGATTTCATGTACCAAGAAATTTATTAGGAGTAAAAATAACAACAAAATTCATTTAAAAAATCCACTTCAAAGTGAGATTTCCACTTGAAAGTTTAAAAACACTCAAAGCAGTGAATCAAGAATGAAACAGTTGAATATTCAATAGTGTTCTTTTCTCCAAAACGTCATAATTTAAAGCAACGTAAACAGCGCATTCCATTCAAAACGAGCTACCCTGAATAACTTTGGGCACAATGATTTGCAGGAAAAATTAAAAAAACACGTCAACCATAGTATACAGGGGAACACATTTTCACAACTTGCATCAGAATTTCTTGTATAATGACCACCAAGGTCTTCGGATTTCACTCCTGTAGATATCTTTCTGTGGGGTAATTTGAAGTCTGAAGTGTATGAGATAAAATCAACAACATTAAAAGATTTGGGAGAGAATATCATGAGGCATTGCGGAGAAATAACTCCCGAGATTCTCAACCATGTGAGGGTGGCAATGGAAGCTCGTTTGTACCATTGTATGGAAGTTGGTGAAAACATTTTTAAACATTTACTATAGACATATTTTCCTTCTCATTGTCCAGTCATCGGATTTTGATTCAAGAATTAATAAAAAATCTCTTTTTCTGATTTATTGCTTCCATATTTATTTTCTTTGATTGACGACTTGTTCATTTTGTGGAAATTCATGTTCACCGATGATACACTACAAAAACACACTTTTGTCTCTGAATCTATAATCAAGTTCCCAAAACCTACATTATATCAAAAGCTTTGTTTTGTTATCTTCATGGATATTACAGTTATACAAAATGTAGGTACCAAATTATTTATGATAGGATAGGCAACTTAGGTATAAATTACTCAGATTTAAATGTAATCAGTTAGTTTTGAAAATGGTGTAATAGCCGAAACTAGTCAACAATGAAGAAATATCGTGGAAAATAGACAAAAGTGTGTTTTTGTAGTGTATCTTCAGTTCCATATTTATCTCTAGAACGAATATTTCAAAAAATGTGGCCTTCTGTATGATTGTTGACCAATTTTTTTTTTATTTTTCCTGCAAATCATTGTTTCAAAAGTTATTCAGGTTGACTCGTTCAACTCTCTCGAACGACTGTTACATAACAAATGCGCGTCCAAAATGGCTGAAACTATAGTTTCCAGGTTGTACTATAGTTTCCAGGTTGTCAAAAAAATTAATGTCGACTCGGTCTATTGGTGTTTGGTTATAAGAATGAAGTTTCATAATGAAAATGTATTGATTGGATGTTTATATCGTTTTTCTTGTTCTTAGTTTTTTGAGTAATTTGATCACTTTGAAAATTGGGCTGAAAATATTTTCTCTCAACAAAATAAGTGCATATTGATTGGTGATTTCAATTTGAACTTCCTCAACGAGAATGATTCTTTGGTAAAAAAATTCAAGAATTTCATTGCAAATATTGGGGTGGAACAACTGATCCATGAACCAACAAGAGTTACTAATAATAGTAGTACATTGATTGATTATGTCTTAAGCTCCTCAACCTTAAATCAATGTTCAGTCCATGAAATTCCTAAGATTACAGATCATAATATCATCACTGTTACAATCAAATCCTGTCAGCTGCAGAAATCTAGCACTTTGAAATTATATAGTGATTTTAGTGAAACAAAACTTCTTTTTTTAAATGAAAAATTATTGAATTGCAACTGGAATTTAAACTTGAATGATACCGATACAATATATGCTAACCTTGTTAAGAACATAAGTGAACAAGTCAATATTATTAGTCCATTAAAATCAAGCAAACAGTTTAAAAGCCAATTGCCTTGGTATGATCATGAAGTTTTTGTTGCAGCAAGGTATAAGGATGAAGCTTACAAAAAATTTAAAAATTGTAGAACTGTGATTGATGAACAGCTCAATTGGGCTATTTATAAAAGTTATAGAAACGAAGCGGTTAATTTGTTGAAAATGAAA